CGGAATTCTAGAATTGTAAGTATATTATGAAAAATAATAGTATTGATTCAAATTGAACTTTTAGTTGTAATTGTAGTTGTTTTTGTAATACTAATTCTTATAGCATTGTTTGGGAAGGAAGTACATTCGGAGCATTGTTTCTGATATATGTAGTTATTGTGTTCTTAATGTTTGTGGTATTTCTTAAAGCTAAGCAGTGTTATACGCGTAGCAAAGAATTTTAAAATAAAATTGTGTTGTATGAATTAAGTGTGTAATCATTGTGAAATCGTGCAAGTAGCTAAAAATTTCCCCAGCCAGTGCATCAAACAAATCAGTAAGTTGTGTGGGATTCTCTCTATTCCATAACCCACTAGAGACAAAGACAAATGCCTTCGCATGTTGCACTCTGGCACCTGTGCTGGGGGTTGTCTACCCATTATAGTGTGTCATAAATCCGATGTCTATATTTAGTCCATGATTTTTTGTATCCAGGAGGTTGGATCATCTGTGAAAAGTGTTTTGTAAATTCCATTTGAGGATTAAAACTAGGAAATTGGAGAGAGAGTGTGCCCCCATGGTAGTTGGGTATTCTCGTCTTTAATAGATTTCAGGTGTACATTCATTCTGGTGCGCAGTTGTTGTTTACTCTCTCCTACGTATTTTCCATCAGATGCATTTTCCAACTATTTGAGTTGGTCTAATAAAAGATATCAGATTTACCCAAAGATCGGTCTAATAAAAGATACCAGATTTACCTTGTCTGCCTATGTCCTCAGACCAAAACGGCTACAACCTACACGCAAGAAAACAGTTTCCATTTTTACTGGCATTTACTCTGAGGAGTTGTTTCCATAAGGATCCCTCCAATGTCTTTAAGATCTCTCTCATCACATAGTCTACATAAAATCAACATTTTTTATGTTGCCCATAAACACCACTGCTGAAGTAGCGTTGAATAAAATTCATGACATATTTCAGTTTGATAAGCATAACTTTACTAGTAATTTTCTTGGTCATTTCTAATGAAATCTCAACCTAAAATACTAGGCTTAGTGTGGTATCATTGCTTGGACTCTATTCCAAACTTGGCCACTGGGCAATCTTGGGCAAGTAACTTCCCCTCTCTCCAACAATGTCTTCATCTGTAAAAGGGAATGGTGATACTGACTTCCTTTGCAAAGAGCTAGGAACTATCATTTACTCTTGTTCCCTTTAATCAATGATTAATGAAATAGTGTCTGACACAAGGAGAGAAATATCGGAATTCAACAGAAGAAATGCTCATGCAGGGTAAAGAACACTTCCAACATCACATGCACAGAAGATAGCTGCAGCAGCACTGAAAGATGCCAGTGGTATGGACATGCAGAAGATTCTGTGCTTATATAAGCAAACACATTATGTTCAAAGAGACAGTACCTTTTCTCTAGGACTAAATAAAGGAGTTTCAACTACAATTTTATTCCTTCTACTGAAAATTCATGAGGTACAAAACGCCTCTCCTATATGAAAAAATGGTAATTTATCGTTTTTTAAACCTTCCCATACCTAAACAGTAACAAGACAGACTAGGAAGTCAGATATGGCTAACAAAATGTAGAGAACCCTCCCCTTTGTTCTGTGATCATCATCAGTGGTCCACTACCATTCTTGCTAGAGATGTACAAATCCTCCTTATCTCCAATATATCCCATTAACATCTATTTACTGTTCAAAACTAGACATAAAATAACCATAACCTTTATTTCACTCTAGCAATTTCAAACAAGGGTAGATAAAACAATGGATAAAACAAGAGGGCAGAAACCAGTTTTCTACCTTGGATCATTTCTGACTAAAGGTAACTTTATTTTATTTTACTGACCTATTTATTTTTCTCCTTTTAGAGGAGTAGGGTTTTCCCAGCTTTTCTTATGATCACTATTCCAGTGAATACACCACACACGTGTAAAGAAAAAACAACTGCCCACTGTGAAGAACTCTGGAAACTGACCCAGCAGTAGTAACATTACATGCTAAACCACTGTGATATTTAGTAATTGTGGTGACTTAAGAGCTTCAAAAATAAAAGAAACTGGTGATTGACCATTATTCTATAAAAGGCCTTCCTGGAATACCTTTATTTGCAGCCCTTTAGAAGATGAATACTGTCTCTTTAATAATTAAATTCAAGTGTTGATTGAGTGCATTCAGATCTTGTAAGATTACAAGCCGTGGGGTGACAACGGGTAAACAGCACCAGCCTTGCTTTACACACAGTTTCAAGCTCACTATTGATGGACAAAGCATGTACATTACGTGATGCAGGGTGGTGTGATGTAAAGGCCTTTATAAATTAATACTAGGGTTGTATAAGTACATACTACTTACAAACTGAAAAAAGGGAGTAAAAACCATGAAAGTAAACATCTGGTGGATTGCCTTTGAACAACAGATTAAACCACAAATTAAATTCTTAATTCAAAAAGGAAAAAAAAAAAAAACCAAGAAAGCAAAATTTCTGATAATCTTCTAACTGTAAATCAGGTTTATTATTTTTAAGAGGCAATGAAGGTTTTAAGTAAGGAGTAGGCAGTTTACATGAACTATTTTTAAACAGTTGCATCTAATTCACACTGCTACCTAGCCAATACTGGAATACAAACTCAAACACTTAGAACGTGCATTTTGTTTCTGTCATAAAAAAGGGAAATCGAATAAAATAAACAACCTTAGCTCTAGTCCTGATAAATATATATAAAAAAGCTGGAAGTGTCTTGACTAATTTTTACTTATTTGAAATAAAGGAACATTCAAAATCTTCAAATTTCATCAAGTGTTTAGACTATATGGAAGGTGCTATTTTGCTTTTATGCCCAGTCAGCATTTGAGGATGACCTTCCTACCTCAATGCACAAGCATTTCCTCATGAATACAGTGACTTTTGCTTCTATTAAAGGTAGAAGGTGCAGGTAGAATCTGTGCTTGCACTTCCAGATTCTCTTATTTATGAGACATCTGTGTGCGGTCTCTAACAACTCACAGCTCTAAAAGAACAAACAATCTAGCTTTGGTTTGTATGTGCTATGCTTGTGCAGGCTCAATACAAAAACTTCAGTGCTTTATTAATCAGGTGTTCAAGTATCCCAAACCTTCAACTTCCCAAGCTGCTGTAAAACAAAGCTTCCTTTTAAAATGAATGTTCATTTTTCACAAATTTAAATATTTAATGATCACGTTATTATTTAACACAATGTTTCTCAACCTTTTTAGACCCAAGGGACCCCTCAGAAAATGCTACCTCTTATTTTTCTGTAGGCAAAAAAGAGTTAAAATTAACAAAACAATTCTTCTGTTGTGAAGATCAAAATATTTTTAACATTATGGATTCCTATTTGAAATCTCTAAGTGCGTCTTATGAATGTTTTCACACCTAAGAAGGCTAACACTGCATGACACCCTGCAGCACTCCTGAAAGGATCTCAAGGCACCTCATGGTGCCATGGCACCATTGTTAACAATCACTGATTTAACAACAAGGGGACAAAAACCTACAGTCCTATCAATTACTTTAACAAGGAAATTTGGTGGAACTGTACTCACCCATGGGAATATTTAACTCCAGGAAAAAGTTCTTAAGGACAGTGGTCAGATCAAGATTGAACATCAGAAAAATGGATTACAGTGGTACAGTTGTGAAGCCAAATAGTATTATACCTAAAGCTGACAGTGTGGGGACACTGATATCAACATTAAGAAAGTTCATGGAAAAGGAGGCAAATGTGGAAAAACACATAAAACCCCCCGTTAAAGAAGTTGTTACTGTATCACTAAAAGATTTCATTTGGGCAGCAGCAGCACCATGCAGCTGGTAGAAGTTGCAAGACGCAGTCTTTTTTTAAATAAACAAACAACTTGTTATAACTAGATTATACCCTATGACTTATTAAATATATTTTTCTCTTTGGTGTAAAGTTTCAGAAAAAAAAGACATATAGTTGCTGTAATTCACAGTCACTAAATGCCATTTTAATCAAGGGCCTAGCAACTCAAAATTTAAAACTATGGATGAAAAAAAAACAAATCTGTAGGAGGGTAACATCATTTAAGGCAGGAGGTGGCCAATAAATGAAATGACTATTCCAGTTTCAACTACTGCAAGTGCACATAATAAAGTTGGTGCTCTATAGCAACACTGAGCTACAGCTACTTCCTCCTACCATATCTTACATTGTATCATAGCCATGAATTTGAGATTCAATCAGTTCAATAACTGGTGATCTTTGGGCCCCTATTTACTTACTCCAAATGATACTTCATTGCATTTTTAGATACTTCTTTCACTGGTTAACCAAAGGCATATGAATAGCTAGAATTATATGTACACCAAATGTTTTGGAGGTTTAAAATTCTTTCAGTGTAAACCCTATTTATCAGTTATGAAGATTAACAGAAAAAGCAGAAAGCAAATTAACACTCCTATCAGGAAGAGAAAAACAGTTTACAGTGAGATGATGTGCAGGGCCCAGAAACGTGGTCACAGTGTGGATGGGTTGCCTGGGGCCAGACAAAGGTATCTGATTTGGTATGAGGATGAGAAGATACAAACAGTTGGAGAGGAGACTCTGTTCTTGAGAGAGAGGATGAGGAAGTATCAGAGGCTAAAAAGCGAAAGAAAAAAAAATGATAAAAGAATAAGATATCCAAAAGCAAGAATTTAATGGACACATGGATGCCCCAGAAAAGCGACAGAATGCAACGCATTTATTCCACCACTCAACAGGATGAAAGTGGTTTCTGCAGAAAACATTTTCTCAAAACAACTTTACAAAATCTATCACATCAGACAGAATACAAAGACAAATGTCTATGTGCATTAAAAAACAAGCTTCAACCAAAATGCATTTGAAGAGTAAATCTTCTTCAACAAAGTCTAAAAATCCTATTGTATTTCATAAAAAGAAAAAAGGTCAAGACAACCTGGTTTAAAATGTATGTTTTTTCCCCTTACTTGTTATGATACAAGGTCAAAAATAAGTGAACTAAAATACTACATAATAAATTGAATTGCATAGCTTTAAAGGAATTGCATGCTGTTTATCTTAATCAAAATAGCCCATCTGATTTCCCAAGTGATTTGTGTGTGTATGTGTGTACACACGCACCCCCCCCCCCCCCCC